AAAAAAAAAAGATAAATAAAACTATCACAAAAACAATCTAAACAAAAACAAAAAATTAAAGGAATTAAATTGTGCATGCATTAACTAAAGACTAAGAAATAAGTCTCAGGAAGCTTGTGCACAATTTACCTACCTTCAGATTCCATCCAGATCGTGTGAAAACAATTGAATGATGTATTTATGCTGAAATTTCTGGTACCCTCAATTTCTTCGTCAGACTCCTTTTCCTCTTCAGAGCTCGAAATTCCTATCTTGTCAAGGACACAATCTTCTTCTGAATCATCTTCTGACTCACTATTGGACTCCTCTTTGCTTTCCTCATTATCCTCTTCCTCAATGCATCTAGAAAGTTGCTTGATGAGATTTTCTTAAGTGCTTCCAAATTTGCATTTTTTTTCAAATATTTACCAAGATCATGGTGTGCTATGTATTTGTGTAACTCAAAAACTTTCGATTTGGAGAGGCTCCTGTCATTAAGTGATTACATAGAAAACTTCCCAAGAAAAGAAAATGATCTCTCAGAAACAGATACTGATGCTGAAAATGACAGTGATAATCTTGACATTGCTATTGATGTTGATAATGGTTTGGAGAGAAGATGAGTTGATGTATTAAAAGCAAAGTTTAATATAATTGAAAATAAATGTTGATTTTTTGAAGTTATTTTAATGGTAGTCCTTACTTGCTGTATTTTATAGTATCATGATGCAGCTTAACATTCTATTGATTTATACACTTGCAGGTTTTTTTGTGCCCACCCCTTAAACTTCTGCATGAAAAATGGTGACCCACCCCATATTTGCACCAGCCCCCCTCTCAATAAATAATGATGGGTCCCTATGGGATGTTGATTTTGTGTTTTAGTTGTTCCACATTGTTTTTCTTTCTTTTTTAAATTGTAGTCAGTTACAGTGAGAGTCCATTTTAGCGACACCATTCTAGTATAGGGTGGAAACCAGGAGGAGAAAAGGGTGTATATGCAGACCTCATGATAACAAGAGAGTCTATTTTAGTGACACCATTCTAGTATAGGGTGGAAACCAGGAAGAGAAAAGGGTGCATATGCAGACCCCATGATAACAAGAGAGTCTATTTTAGCAACACCATTCTAGTATAGGGTGGAAACCAGGAAGAGGAAAGGGTGCATATGCAGACCCCATGATAACAAGATGTTAAACTTTCTGTCACCATTTCAAAATGTCTAAAATATGAACATAACCAAGTGTATCCCACATGCCATTTCTTGATATCATTATTTATTTAAAAAACAGCAATTCCTTGGAATAGAAATGGCTAATCTGCGTAATCATTGATTGATTGATTTTTTTGTAATTAATTCTAGATGTTCACCAAGTACTGGCAAACAAATTATGATATTTTACCTCCTCCAAGTCACTCTGATGATGAAGACAGGAAAAAATGAACCTTGAATTCATACACTAGAGAGTATATGCTGTAAGAATCTAATACTGATATGATTCACAAGACACTGGCTGATGGGAGGCAACTGTGAAAGAATCAGTACTGAAAGTATTTCTTTCCAAGATTGAAACATATTGTAATATTAGAGCACTTGAACAGTGATTTTCATAGTTTGATACAAAGAGCTAAAATCTGAATATTTGTTTTTCCTTTTATGACATTTATGTCTTTTGGCTTTCATTTCATTCTATTTCATACCATTTTCATTATCATTTTTTTCTATTTTCATTTTTTTTCCAGTTTATTCTTTTTGTTTTTGTTTTGTTTTTGGAGAGTCTAACCTTTATTAAGCAGTCACCCTCTATATATTTAACACTCACTTACCTAAGTCCCCAATATTTCCCCTTATGTTAAATTAGACCCTTTTAAACTAGTATGACCTCAAGTAAGTGGACATGATCACGGTATAGACATTCCAATTCGTTTGTAAACTTACATTTACCTTTATTAAGTGGTCACTTAGAGTATGACTGATTCTTTTTTGATGTATTATAAAACGTGTCAACATTCTTTAAACAGTTTATTACATGTCAGGCGTGTAGCGTGGACTTTTTGGCTAGTATGCACATTTCAGGGACCACGACACATATTTTGGATCTGGGGGGGGGGGGGGGGGGGCTAACGACCGCCAAAGGCGGGAGTATTCAGGTAGTCTGGACCTCCGCCAGGAAATTTTGAAATAATAACTCTTGGAAATGCGATTTCCAGCGTATTGAGAGACATTGAGGGCATATAAAAGAGATCAATTTTATGTGAATTTTTCAGTAATTTTTGTGAAAATTTTAATATTTCCTTGCCACTAGTACGCACGTGCGTATATGCGTATTAAAGGACAATACGCGCCTGATAGTGTAGTTCGATTGACTTCAATAACAGCTGTTTGAATTGTATGCAGTGCTAATCTGCTTGTGTAGCCCAGATACAGTATGGTCATTTCCTCTTTCTTGAACTAGTGTTTCCTTTTTTTCTAAGCATAAAATGCTGGTTTTATGAGCCATTAATTAATTTAATTTGTAAAAGTTCTATCAAGCTGTCAATCTCTCTAGAAGGTTTCTTGCGTGACTTGCGTGATCATAGATCTCGTTCCCAGACTCCGAAATATGGTTCTGGGCGAGATTGATATCACGCAATATGAAAAGCTTGACTAAAGTTATATTGCCGTGTCCAGATTGAATAAAAAATATCTAACACGCAATTTTATTTCAAAATGGCTCTGAAATATTCCCGTAAATTAATACGAGAATTGGCTATTTTTTACAAAAGAATTGTCATTTTTGACAAGTTATTTGAATTAAGGTGTTTTGTGGGGGCGGAGCTATAACGCGTCTAAATATCATCGGCTAGCTGGTTTTGCACGAAGCGCTTTCAAGCAGAAAACATTTTTAATCGCTTTGTTTTTTTGCAAAAGATAAGTCCAAAACCTGACATAGTTCTTGCGATATATATTCTTCTATCAAAACGATGTCTCTTGCAGCGTTGACGAACACCTTACGATCTACTATTCATGTTGGATTGAAGCCTGTTTTGGCAAGAAAAACTCCTCGTCAACTTACATCTCGTACAGTATTTTATACTCAAAGAAAGAGACCAGCTACAACCGACGAAAACATGACTTTATTAGTGGGGTTTGGTGCACTGATTGCGTCCGCCTCGGTTGTAAGTATTGACGGACGAAAACACTTTGAATTCATGGAACGCAATATTCATGGATATTGATATTTTTATGAAGGAAGCATTCCTACTTCTTCATTACTACTAAATCGTTCAGTAACGAGGTTTTATATATTATTCAATGGTATTTTCAGAGCTAAACGATCGTTTTGCTAAAATGTTGTTGATATTATCGTGATATCACGGGTCTTGTACATCACGCTACTGGTCAAGTGCGGTCGTCTCTCCGAACCTGTGATTGGTTTTTATCAAATATTTTCTCTTGACAATGGATGCCAAAAATAGGTCTGTCTTGTTTACTTGAACTGACTTTCTTGTATGTTGTTTATTTTGCAGTGTGTAAAAATGAAAATCTTTGATGTGGCCTATGGTAGAGCTGAGCAGTAGAAAATAATAGGTAAGCGTTACAAACAGCTGCATGTATAAACACATAAATACGGACAAAATGATAGTCATTTTATTTTGTCAGTTAAATAGTAAGTTTTTGATGTTTACCTGAAATTAACGAAATTTCACACATCAGTTCTCACTTTGTATTCATATTTCATAGAGTAAGTATTGTATATACTATCATATACTATAATAGTGAAATGTAGTCAGTATAGTCATGGGGTTGAAATTCTTATATTGAACTTTCTATTTCAGAATGACCAGTCTCCCAGGCTCACGAAAGATTGAAAGAATAGTTTAAATCTACAGTAGCAAGTTTATAATGATGATAAAAAACGTAATAAAGTAAAAACATGAATCTGAGCTCAATCTTTTTGTTGAGGATGATAGTTGCATGATTGTCGACGGTAAAGAATTTTGTCCGACATGAGGGACAGCGGCATTCCTTTTCCTGAAAATATATATTTAGTAAGCTCTGATGTCACGTTATCAACTTTAAGTATTTTTGGAAATATCATGGCATGTACTGTTGATTTGTCAAACACTATGACGTACAGTCATAACCAAATATGAATACATTATGGCCCGGCGCGCATGAGGAAACGCACGTTTGAAAATAGCCGATTGACAAAGCGTTTGTGTCACGAGATGTGTTCTCATTCCTATTTAGCCTCTCAGTCTTGAATACTACCACGATAGAGCTCAGTCTTTGAGACAGAATACTGCTTGGAAATGAATTTTTATCAAGCCCCAATGACCCTGGCGCGTTTAGCAAGACTCTCCGTGAGACAAGGTCTACTTTCCCGCAATTCTGCACAACGTATTATCAACAGAGGACTTTTCTACACACAAAGAAAAAGACCATCAACGCCTGAGGAGAACTTGGTTATGGTCACTGGACTAGCGAGTGCAATAGCTATGATTGGACTGGTAGGTGTTTTCGTTTTATATTTTATAACATTTTATTTTCTCTTATTTCGAAAACGCGCACAGGTGGTTTGACTGATGTAGGCACACCATTTTCGTTTTACATGTTATATTCGATCTATTCTGCTACTTTAAATTGTTTTTCAGGAATTAGCTTTATTCTTATTATGAATAGCCTCGCCTTGCCATTTACGTTGTGAAACCAGTTTTTTGACGTCATACCGCTGTTGTCGTGCTCCATCTCACGTCGTCTTTCCACTTCCGTGTTGGATGTATACGTACTTTGACTGCTGATGGAACTCAACGCATTTATTCAATCTTTACTATCTACATCGCTCTAGTTACCATTAATTGAAAAGTATAGTAGCAATTTAACAATTCAATACTTTAACTTTCGTGGTGTCTTGTCGAATTATCAAATACGTCGCGATGGCGACGTTTTGTAACGCAATACATTTCCGCGTATAGTTGATGAGAAACATTCACTTCATGCTATTTTATTCTTCTTTCCATTAGTTCTTTACATCTCTTCCCTTCTTTTTATATCCATTTTTCCGTATATTCTTCATTTTCTTATAACATGATGATTAATGGTCACTTTTGGATATCTCCTATTATATAGGGCTGCAACATGGGAGTATTCAGTATCCGTTACGGAATGCAAGACAAGCCCCAAGACTAAAACATGAAGACCTGTCACATGAACTAGAAATATCATTAACATTACAGCGTTTTGGAAAACTTAAGTTAAAGTCAACAATATCCGCGTATACAAAAAAATAAGGGTGCAATCAGTACTGTGTGGTTTAAAAACCCATTTTATAAAACGGCAAGAAGAGAAAAATATTTCGTCAATATGTTATTGAATTGAATGTTGACCATTAGTTGAATATCAGACTAGTGTATACATCGATATTCCTAATTTTACAGAATTTTTCCAAAACACTGTATACAGAATTTGCACTAAATGTAATCAAGACACAGATATAAATAATTGATATCTATTTGAATATTTTATATGTTTATCGCTGAAATTGCATGTAAATGGCACTAGAAATAAAAAGCGAAAAAAGTACCAATAGATTGATTATTTGCCTTGTACCTGACTATATGATAGTCTTTACTCCGACGAAGGATTAACGTCCGAAACGTCAGTAAGTTATTCCACATACTTTTTTACGGTGTTAAATTTATCTTTTTACATAATTATATGATAGTCTCCTTCGCAGCGCCCTTTTATCGGACAAAGAAGGGTGGGCTGCGAAGGAGACTGCAATAGATACATCACCTCATTAAAAAAAATCGTTTAAGTCATTGGGCTACCTGTGCTTTTATGTGAGCCAGTGATTTTCGAGTAACAGTGGATAGCTGTCTTACCCCATCTACGCAACTTCCTCTTCCAAAAGTTTATTTTCACGTGTTGTGTTATATTACGTAAAGAAAGCTTTAAAATGTCTTTAGTTGCTTGTAGTAGATTTTTAAGGCCTTCCATAGCGAGGTTAAGACCTGTATTAAGGTCAAGTCAACTTGGTAGAGTTAAAAGATTCAGCAGTATTCATCAAAAAGGAGGAACAGAGGGTCAAGACAATCTTTTCGTTATTCTTGGTCTTGGTGTTCTCGGAGCTGCTACTGCAGTCGTAAGTGTCTTTAAGACTAAGAACGTTCAGCTGATTTGATAAGTTGCAAGAAAAAAATGTCAGTTTTGAGATTCAGACACATCAATTACAGCTTATGTCAGATCTTGCATGTTCAAAGTACAAATTTAGCTGTGATTTTCCTTTGCAGAGTTTGTACATGCAAACTTATAGCTTAATATAATTACACACAAGTTCTCAGATCTTGTTGAAAGTAAATGTAATTTTATGTTGATGCAGGGTGCATATAGTGGTCTCTTTACACCTAAGAAACCTCAGCAAATACACCAGATTCAGGTAGGAGTACCTATTATATATACATTAAATAATAACTCTCAATATCAGTGATAGTGTATTGATTTGTGTTTTGATTCATATCATATGAACATAGACAACAGAAGAAACAAATTTTGAAAATGAAGCAGTTGTGGTTGAAAAAACAGAAGAGGTAGAAGAAGGCAAGGTACAAGAACAAACAGATGCCCCACCAGAAGCTGAAACATCACAAGGTGCATTTATGAGTTCTAAATCTCAGAAATGTCCACTATGCAGTTACAATATAAAGGTGTTGTCAATGTCATTGTGGTTTTTCGTGATTCTATTGAGTTTATTATAGCAACAGACGAAGAACCATCAACACCATCAGCACCTCCATTACCAGAAATTCCAGAAAAAGTAACATATGTCTTGATTGGAGGAGGAACTGCTTCTTTTGCTGCTTATAGAGCTATTAGGAAAGGTGATCCAAAAGCACAGGTGATGACATTAAACCTATCAGAGTCCTCAAAGTCATTTTAACAAGAAAGTGATTATGTTTAAAGGTGCTTATTATTGGTGAAGAAGAACATCCTCCATACATGAGACCACCCTTGTCAAAAGAATTCTGGTACGGTGATGACGATGTAGCTGTTGCAAACCTAAGATTTAAACAGTGGAATGGAAAAGAAAGGAGGTATAAACAACTAAATAATTCTCTGAAGAAAGTGCTGATTAAGTAATTTTATATTACGTTGGCATTTGAACATATTATTGACAACACTTGTCATTATAAGAAAGCTAGATAATTCATTAATTGTGATAATATTGTCTCTTGATCAAATTTGCTTTTGCTTCAATCTTTTTGTTCTCGCTTGTACAAGACAGTGTTTAATCAGGCAATTGAATCGTTTTATTTGTTATAGCATATTATTTGAACCAGACTCATTCTACTGTTCACCCCAAGAGCTTCCAACAAAAGAGGAAGGGGGTGTGGCATTCCTTAAGAATAAAAAGGTAAGATATAACAACAAGATAAAACTCTCAATATAGTCTGGTTTCCTTGATTGCAAGGAGTTCTGAGGCTATGAAAACTTGCATGATTTTCCAACCATTTGGCAATATTCACTATTGCCTTGATTAATTGTAGCAATAGACCTCTTCAGCTTTTACGTCATGTAACGTATACGCAATGCATTGTAGGACATGTTTGGGACAAAACATGGCGGATTTCTTTTGTTTTCTCTTGAAACTGATCCCATAATGCATTGAAAATCAAGTAGTGACGTAAAAGGTTCAGAAGTCTATTGGAATAGTGCTTGATTTTCATATCAGTTGTTTGTACCAGAGTTGTAACTGATTTAGATAATAAATACTTTATACTATTATAATGGTAATATCCAACTTGAATGTATAATCATATGTTTATTTACTAAAGTTATTTTTTAAACAAAGGTTGTGAGTGTCAATCCCAAAGACAAAAAGGTTATATTAGATGATGGCAAGGAAATTGAATATGGAAAACTGCTTCTTGCTACAGGTAAGTGTTTGATGATATTAGCAGTGATTGAATGACATTATTTACTACATTTGAAGGGGCGGATACGAAAACGGCGTAAGTGACGATTTAGGGTATTTTTGAAATTTYCGAAAAATTRAMAAAACATCATTCCAATCGCTTATTTTAAGTCTAAATAACCTTATTTAGTACTTATTTCTCCTGATTTCTTTCCAAAAAGGGCAAAAAAGGACCCATAGTTACCGACTTCTTTGGCTTGACAACTGATCGCTAGACCGTAAAATATCCTAAATTTGCATATTCGCGCTAAACTCATGACTTTGACAGTTGGTTTGTCGGTTTGTTTTGGTTCGAAGCTGTGCTGCAAGAAGTCGAGAAATGAGTTTTTTCGCGGTTTTCTCAGCCTTTTTGCCTTTAGTCACTACTCTACAGACATCATTAAGTTTGTAGGTAGCGAAGGAGCTTACTTGCTGAAAGAATCCAGCTTGGTGTGTGACTTTTTAAGCGATTTTGATTCCGCGGTTCATTCGATTAACTCGGACAGTCGCTTGAAGAGAATCACTTAAAAGACCGTCTAAAGGCAAATCCTTGGAGCTGCCACGGTAATTTTTGGATGTTTTGGCTATTGAGGAACAAAAGCGACTTGAAATTTTGGCAGATTTCCGAGAAGGCTGTNTATAATCATGTGTTGTATTCACAAAAACAACATTTTTTCTTGGTAGAATTCATTCTATATATGGAAAACATTACTTAGAAACTTATAATTTATTCTAAACCCGAGTGAACTCGGGTTTAGAATAAATTACACACTTTGTCGGTCATGAAGTCGTCATGTGGACTCGGGGGGGAGGGGGGGGGAGTTTGTTTGCTTTACAAACTCAGGTTTTAGAGCCTAACGCTTAGCTAACGTTAACCCTACCCTACCCTAAACCCTAACTATTCTAACCCTAACCCTAAATCAAGCAACCCTAGCCCCTGTCTTAGGCTATAAGAACCCTAACTCTTGCATAAGGCTGGAACTAACCCTATGCCGCTAAAGTTTGGGGGAGGGGAGGGTACAGTCTGTAAGTAAATGTCGACTTTTTTTCCGATTTTTAAAAGGAAATCACGAGAAATAACTAGCAAACATGATTATTTAGACCAGAAACAAATGATTGAAGCGMTTTTTTGTCAATTTTTCGAAAATTTTAAAAATACCCTAAATCGTCACTTACGCCGTTTTCGCATCCGCCCCTTCATTTATGTTTCTCCAAAGGAAATACAAATCTTGATAAAAAGTGTCAGAGAGAATTTGCCAGTAGTTTTCATCAAAGGATACCATCATGTTCAATTGATGATGAACTCTGTTTTTGAAATATATAGTAATTGTTCCATTAAATATTTCTGTACTTGTAGGTGGATCACCCAAAAGTCTCCCAGTTTTTGAAAATGCAACTGAAAATATTAAAAGCAAAGTCACATTATTTCGGAAGGTAATTTTTGCAATAAAGTAGCTACAGACTGATTATTTTCAATAGTTTTAACTACACAGGCAGTTATACCATTTCTATATCATGTGTATTACATAAGATAGATATTTATATCTAATAGTTATACCCTTATTAAGATAGGTAGAGACTTGGTTTATTACCATCCACCATTGTGATAGTTGTTAGTACTATTGACTGTCACTTATTGAGAATGGTATTGTTGGTTGAAATGAAAAAGACTTGAGTAAACCGAGGGCATGTTTGCAAGAGAACAAATATAAAATAATATCAAATTCATGTTTTTATTATTATTTCCATTTCAGTTGTTAACCTTTTCCTCTTTTACAGATCACTGACTTTCAAAGCCTAGATAAAATCACACAAACTGCCAAATCTATTGTTGTAGTTGGTGGGGGATTTTTAGGGAGTGAATTGGCCTGTGCTCTTGGCCATAAAGGTAATTTATGGTTTCTGTACAATTAATCTTTTGGATTACATATTGAAAGGTTATTGTATTCTTACAAGTATACTTACATGCATTGTAAAGTCACTTAAAGTAATAAATGTTTACATGTTGTTTCATAACAATTCATGTTTTCAGCAAAGAAAAATCAAATGAGTGTAACTCAGATATATCCTGAAAAAGGTAAGATTCAATCAATAATTTTGTATATTATTTTGTACTTTTTCTCTTTTTACCTATAGAAATTTAGTATTTAAGCTACAGTGTACTCTAACAGTGCAAGACCTTACAAACAAATGCCTAATACAGACAGTAAATAATTACAAGTGCACAAAAACTTATACAGAGTGACTAGGGGCATATCCAGGGGGTCCCAGGGTGCCTGTGACCCCCCTTTCTATGCCAAAAAAGCGTGAAAACCATAGATAAATATGACATCATGTTGACATCATATGACGTCACAGTGACAAGTTTGTATGTGAGGACCCCCTGGATAAAATCCTGGATATGCCCATGGCGACTCCTACTTTTATATATTGCTGTCACTATCTTACAGTCTGCATGGTGTAAATATACATTCAAGAGTTATTTGTTGGTTACATTTTTATTTACTTGTGATAAAAATGGTGACTGGTTCTTGATTGGTTGACCATAGGTAACATGGCTAAAGTACTTCCTAAATATCTCAGCAGTTGGACTACAAACAAAGTAAAAAATGGTAAGAAATAGATAATAGTCTATGATCATTGCCAAGAAATCCTCATATAAATAAATTTATTTGAATATTTCAGAGGGAGTTCATGTTGTACCCGAGTCAAAAATCAGCAGTGTTTCAATGAATGGCAGCCAAGTAGAACTTTCTCTTGAGAATGGGTTAAAAGTATGTGAATTATATTAACTAGGAAGTAAATATTCATGAAAGAAACCTGATAAAATGTGATATTTTTTTGAAAGTAATAATTGAATATACTTCATCATACAGATAAATGCTGATCATGTCATTGTTGCGGTTGGTTTGGATGCTAATGTGGATCTTGCCAAGTCAGCAGGTCTAGAGGTTGACAGAAATCTTGGTGGATTTCATGTTAATTCAGAATTAGAAGCTCGTTCAAATATCTGGGTTGTAAGTAAATTAACTGCACAAATCTGAACGATAAGCACTACTACTTCATGCTTATAATCCAACATTTCTTCAAGGCGGGGGACGCTGCATGTTTCTATGACCCTAACCTTGGTCGTAGGAGAGTAGAACACCACGATCATGCTGTAGTTAGTGGAAGACTTGCTGGTGAAAACATGACAGGTGCTGGAAAGCCTTACTGGCATCAGTCCATGTTCTGGTGAGTACTTCCTCTTTATCTTCCTTCCCGTATAATGCCCACATTTATCTTTCCTAGTAGTTGCACGATTGTCTTTAGGTACAACATTAGATCACTTTGAATAAAGGAAGTGTGTTTGCTGACGTTTTCGGTTGATGCTATGAAACTCTTATTTTTAGGAGTGATTTAGGTCCTGAGGTTGGCTATGAAGCTATTGGTCTCGTTGATTCTTCCTTACCTACTGTTGGTGTCTGGGCCAAGGCAACCAAGCAAGACACACCTAAGGCAGTTGTAGAAGCTACTGGTGAAAGTATACGATCAGAAACGGAGAAGGTATGTAATGGACCAGTCATAGATGTCGGAAATTAAGGGTCTTTCTCCCGGAAAAACCTCCTTCCTAGCACCATAACTTCCCTTTATTTCTATATCATGTCAGTCATTTATATGCCTGACTGTGACGTCGTGTTTGCATGACGTAGTAGCAATAGTCTCGTTATGCCCGCAGCCTCAATTGGTTATCTGATTTTATTTTTAAAGGGCCCCGTTTATCCATGAAACCTTGCGATCGATTCTTTCTGATTGGTTCAAATCAAAGATGGCGACATTTCGAATGTGAAAAATTGCGCTTAGGCTGTTACACATGGCAAGTCATTATCGTCACAAAGTGTTTTCTAATCCACCGTCTCTCTTCTCTAGACTTCAGAACAAAAACCCAAATCAAAATATGTCGAAGTTAAACTTCCAAAACCAGAACCAGAAGAAAAAGAAGAGTTTGGAAAAGGAGTTGTATTCTATCTTCAAGATAAAAAAGTTGTTGGTGTAGTAATGTGGAATGTCTTCAATAGAATGCCAATCGCAAGAAAGGTACGATTCTACTTAATTCCTGTTGTCATTTTAAGTCATCGTTGTTGCGTTTTCTTATAGTTCTATATCTTTTCCTTTAAAAATAATGCAAATATTGCATTTTTGTGCTGCTTGATGATAAACTATTAGTTGATCATCAAGTTTACTGTAAGTATTTACCAAAGGATGATGATTACTATCGTCTGTTGCCGACTATTGCCCGAATATTTTACAACAAACGAAACATTTTTGTTATTACGACGAAAATGAGTCGTTCTCACTTTAACAACCACTATACAGTGGGAAACGATCTAATTTTGAACACTTAAGTAAAAACACTTTAAAATTATTTGTTTAGGTAATTAAAGAAGGTCGAACTTGGAACGACCTCAATGAATTAGCAAAGTTGTTCAACATTCATGGCAAGGACGACGAGTGAATTATTTCAAGAACAAATATAAAGAAGATAAAAACTTTTATCAAAAGATGTGTTCGGTGTGGGGAGATGTCTTGATAAGCAAAGAAGGTGTTAATAGTAAAGGCTTTTTCTTCGCTCTTTACTGCCATGGGTGATTTGCGCCAAGCAGTGAAATGTTTAGGAACTCTCGAACATGTACATTTGTGAAAAACAACTGAAATTTGATCAAAATAAAATGATTTTTATTTACATAATAGGTATATTGTTAATGTAGAGAGTTTTTACGCTCAAACTAAGCGCTTGCTTAACATTTTACTGTGATAAAAGTTTTACATCATATTTTGTGCTAAAACGAGATTGTTCACATAATGCGTACCGTTCCTTTACTTTAAGAGAGAGAAAAAAGCAAAAATATTATCCCGTGCAATATAAATGCTTCCACTTCACCCTTTAGGGGTTTGAATAGAAAAAAAATACTTCAATAGACTTCGAGTTGAACCAGTCAATTATGACATTCTTCACAACAAGCTGTTAAGTTTCTAACTCTGTCAACCTTTTAAAGCGGATTTCGATGGTGATTGTTTGAGTCGCGTGGACCTGGTCATTAGGCTTTTCGTCGGACACCTTAAAAGAATGACCTTTGTGGAACTATTGGTAGATCAGACAACAGCACATAAACTTGGTGTTATGGTAATCACCACTTTAATGACAACTCACAAATAGTGGACAGCTTGTCATTAACGGACTCATTTGAATTTACCTTGTTGTACACTATCAATCGAGTATATCTGTGTACAGCAAAGATATCCTCTTGAAACATGTCTAGTGCGTCATTCCTTGGCTTTCTCAGTAACCTTATAGCAAATGGCGATTTGAAGCTTCTTCATGAGCGTTTGATTACACTATTTGATGAAAGCTACCGTTATACTTGTGAAGAAACTACAGCAGTTTGTTGTGAAATACTCCAAGACAACGCTCGCGTCCAGGCAAAGTTGTTTCGACTTCTTAATCTGTGCAGCGAGGAGGGAGGATTGTATGGCGGCATCGAGCCCTTGAAAAAGAAACTTCTACCTTGGTTGGCAAGTGCTGGAAGTTTTGGTAAAAGCGATTCAGAGGATGTAAAAAACGTAAGGGAAAGATACGAAAGAACTGTGGTCATGTTGGAGGAAGATTTGAAATCAGCGCAAAGGGAAGTTGCTGAACTTCGCCTGAAGTAGGTTGATGTTTTTACTTTTTCTACATTTCTATCTTTTTTTTGTACAACTATTAGAAGTATCACCATACATTATGATGTGTAATGCCAATGTGAACTAACGCACCGATGCATTGTTATAAACACCGCAAAAAATCGTTTTCAGCAAGAAGTGTTTTTTTTTAAGGAGATCGGTTTCTTCAAAAAATCGAATAAATTTAACAACCTACATCTTGGTGTACATAAATTATTAACGAGATATATTCAAAAACCGGCACTCAACAACTTTTATTGGATGTTGAAAGTTATATGGTGGAAATAACGATAATTTCCTTGAAGCAATGGAAACTTTACACCATTGATATTTGATTTTTTGAGTAATCTGCTATTTTTCTTAATTTACCAAAGTTTGTGCAAACATTCTGTTAGTAAACAGAGTTTGGTATTAATTTTCCTATTTCCCTGCTGGAGATATTAAATGTACCGCGTACAAGAGTAATATAATATTTATTACAGGCTGACTGACAGTGAAGATGAAATCAAGAGGTTGACTATGAAGATTGCAGATAAAGCCAAAAATGATCTTATGTACAGCCAATTGGAGAAAAAGTTAGTATTTGTTTGCATATAGAAGGTTGAGTTATTAGTACAGGTGGTAATTAAAAGGAACAATATCACCAAGTACAAAGAAAAATGAAAAAGGAAATAATACTGAATACATATGTAGATTTTTTAATAATCTTATTAGAATTACGGGGAGAACTGTCTTCAGTGTTGTGGTTTGTCAATGTTATATTCAATAAATGCACAGTAGATTGGCTTTTACCACACCCCTGAACATATTGAGTTCCAGTGAGAAATTAAACAACTTTAGACTAATGCCCAACGGCGCGTTTTCTCTTGAATCATTTCTGGCAACATCGACTTGAGCGCGCTATGACAAACACAGAACGCTTTTCGAGAGCAAATCGCTAGGCAAACAAAGCGAAAAATCTGTCATATTCCTTAATCTTACGTCCAAAAATGTTTTTATTGTTAATTCATCTTTGACAGGCTGACCAGCACCTCTCTTGATCTTGCTGCAAAAGAAAAAGAAATGAAAGTGGTGAAAGAAGAAAGCGACCAACTAAAACTCGAGAATTCGAACCTTCATTCACGGTAAGCAGAAAAATTGAAGATATTAGCCTATGACAGAAAAAAGAGCTTATTGAAACATACGGTGTTTGGATTAAAAAGGTCAAAGATTCCCAAGCTAGAATACCCTCTAGTATCTATGGCAACAGATGGCGTCTGACTAGCTTTAATTGCGCTCCTGTCCGGCGTTGAAATAGCTTAGTTTGTCGTGTTCACCTGGTTTGTCAACGATGTGACGGCTCACATAATGAATTCATGTCCCGTGTTCCAGCGATCTCAACTAGATAACAAAGTCATGAGAAAGATTAAAATCATCAATTTGATACTTACTATCAAATGATATTTTAGTATCAAAAACCGATTAAAAACAAATCTTTCGCAAACTGGCGTGTATCAAAAACAAATAGAAATGTCTCTTGATTAATCGCAACCAGACCATGCCAACTATGTTATCAATTCGTGGGAAAACATTGCTTACGGAAAGCTTTTAGTGAAGCCTGAGCGGTTATGATCGGTATAGATGAAATTAAAAAAAGGAAAAGCAAATAAGAATTGTAATGTATGTAAAAGGTTATAGAAATGTGTAAATAAAGTAAAAGTGAATGAATGAAATGTACCTTTTCACAGAAAGAAAGAGAAATTATTTCTTAAAGGCACAGATTTCGGTTTACGGTCATTTTCTTACCCAGATCCTCCTCCGGTCAGTTTCCCAAAAATGCATGGGAATTTCAAGGTCTCAAAATCAAGGACTCGTCCAGGCTCCTGGACTCGTCCGTCTCCAGCCGGAGCCTGCCGATTTTCTACTGGGAAAATAAGAAGGTTCTGGACACGAAAATGGTCTACGACACTGTCGTGACAACTTGACAATAGATTAAAAAATGCTAAAATGATGAAAGTCTAAAAGTCCATATTTTTGGTTAAGGCTTCAGAAGCAGTTAATCTTAGATGCTCAGCCAGAGCCGCTACGTATCGTCACCAAACCATTTCTGAACAGCACACCACGCCCTCCGCATGAACGCGCTGTGAAACTCATCGAAAGATTTGCAGAACTGTACGGAAGTGACCGACTTGAACTCATGGATGGGTTACGGGGACTGGGTGAAAGAGACACGAACGAACGATTGGTATTCTGTATTGTTGAGGTATCTACAGTATTAGTTTTTACAGTAGAGAGTTTAAGCATCACGTTTACGCCAAACGGCTAACGCCGGCAGAGCTAAACCAATGACCTAAGAATTTCGTGTCCGACCTTGTGCTTTTGGTAGTCATTTGAAAGAGCGGCTTTTCACGATTATGGCAACTTCAAAATAACCCGCTCTCGCATTAAAACTGCAACGTTAAACTCCAAAAAAGCAGATCACGTGATCTTTTCTGCCGTTTGCCGTGAACTTCATGCTAAACCTCTCTAGTGTTACAGATTTGTAAGAATTGCAGGGCTAACATCCTGAGTGTGGGAAGGAGGTTTTCTTTATGGCCTCCTTTGCTTGCCGCACATCGATTGCAGAGGTTTGCGGTGTTAGATACATTATTTCTTTTCCTTTAGGAATGTTTTATGGTGTGCAAAGCGGAGCAAAGGCGCATGCGTAAGAAGGTTCAACAAGCCCTTCAGCCAACCAATGGCACCGTAATGGACCAACAGCAGACCGATGACATCATCGATAGCTACATGGCAAGAAATACGGACAACTACGACGTCGAAACTTTGATTCCGGTAGGTCAGATAGGTCATGACACGAAATGGACTCCTTTTAGACCATAATATACAACACGCGATGATTTTTATAACGAAGACGTAATACATCAAGCGGCAGACGGAGTGCGGATTGGGGAAGGGGTGGGGAAGAAGGAGGATGGCTGAAAGCTTCAGATATTCCCGCAAGCTACGCACGTTTTCAGTGAATTTTAATCTGCTCTTGTTTATAAATTCCCTTATAAGTGCTAATAAGCCATATTTTCATGGTAAGATGGTTGTTCATGCGTCTGCCATAAAGTCGAGTGTTTGTGTTTACAGGAAGTCATTAAATGTCTTCATCGCAACCCAACCATCAATCAAAACATCCCCTACAATGAAAAGATCATCGTGCCTTTCCTACGGCAATGTCTTCAAGTTATTTGGTCTCTAGTTTCGCTGAAACCACAGATAGAGATTGCAATAGCACTAGATGGTGATACTATTAACGAGACGCGCTACCGCAGGGCTTACAACTCTGAATTCAGTGCCACCGTTGTACACCACTTTGTTTGGCCAGCGTTGATGAGAGAAGGAAAGGTTGTTGCTAAAGGAGAAGTTGTAACGCGAAGAATCAAGGCAACAAAAGTAAGAAAGGTATAGACCGTTGTGCAGTCTAATCTATGAAGAAATTGACTATTCTCTCAGTTTTTCTCTTCCCCTTCCAGTTTCGGTCTGGTAACCTAGGGCTGCATTTATTATGTATGCTAAAGGGGGGAGGGGGGAGCAGAGGAAGATTTT